CCTGCCCTGCCCTCCCCTCCCCTCATTGTCACCATCATCAGTCCTGGTGCCTACCTGCCCCAAGTCCCCAGGCCTGGCGCCTACCTGTCACCATCCCCACAGTCCTGGTGCCTGCCTGTCACCATCCCCACAGGCCTGGTGCCTGCCTGTCACCATCCCTACAGTCCTGGAGCCTGCCTGTCACCATCCTCTGGTCCTACTCCTGTCTTCCTTTGCTCTGGTGGTGAGTGGGGTCTGTTGAATTGTTTGAGACACAATTTAAAGTTGCAGGACAATAGGTCACTAGGAAACATGTCTTCTGAGGGTTGGCTTTGGGAAGCCAGAGACTCGGCTTTGAGATTCTGATGAAATCCTAGAGCCAGGAAGGCTCTGTGGGCATGTGGGTTTCATGTTACGCTTTTTTACCACTAGGTGGCGCCCCAAGAAGGTAAAGCTCCCGTCCCAGGGACCCGTGGGCTGACCCTCACGCTGACCTTTGTAAAGGCCGGACCCTGCTGTCTCCTGTGTTAACTAGTGACTGGCAGGTGCTCACTGGAGATCACAGCGTCAGGTGGTGATGGAGCTTGAGACCTAGGGCTTCCTCCTTTAAAAGTATCATGTAAAAAGCATCGCAAAGGGGGCTGGCTGTTCGCTGTCCCTGTCGCACGGGAAGGTCTGATGGGCCACACGGGGGACGAGTCCCTTCAGCTGCAGGTGCGCAGCCACCACGGTGGTCCAGGAGCAGCTCAGGTTCCTCGCAGGGTCCTTACCTTCTGCCTCTCGGCCGGGCGGGAACAGAGCTAGTCACTGGCAGGCATAGACAAAGGGAAACGATTTAAAGAGATTCACATCGAAACACAGGAATGATTTAATGTTGCAGAACAGGTGCAAATTCAAATATTTCAAGAGCTTAACTTTAAAAGTTGTCATTTCGAATGAAAGCAGAGACCGTTAGCGCTACCGTGTGTGGCCCTGTTCCTGCTCGTTTGAAGTGTGGACCCTGCAGGACCTGGGCGGGCCAAGGGCCTGGCACCCGGGAGTCGGGGGGTCACGGGTCAGAGCTGCTCCCAGTGATGCGCTTACAGGATGTGTGTGACCCTGTAGCTTCGGGGACTTTTAAAGTCCTCTATGATTTCACTTTGTTGTGGTTAATGCTCAGTCATTACGTTGCTCATAAAAAAATAATCCTGTGGAAATGATGAGGCTGGGTTCTAAAATCCATGCCCTCTCTCCCCCCCCTTCCTCTCTTGTCCCTTCTTTTCCCCTCAAAATGATTCATTGCTTTCCCTCACATGTTGAAAAGTTGTAATCAATGAATTACATGTAGTTTTTAATATATCAGCCCACATTGCTTCATACGCAATTGCTCTTTCCCTTCAGATTCTGCAGCTGGTGCCCCCAGCATGATTGCCATGGTTCTCAGGGAGGAAACGCAAGAGCCCGAGAGTTTCCAGGAGCTGTCCCAGGAGGCAGGCTGGGGCTGGGGCTGGGGCTGGGGCTGGGGCTCCCAGCC